TTCGCGCTCCCTCTATCATCATCATGCCTCTATCATGCCACTTTTTCTACACTCTTAGTTTTAATCGTACTGTCCTACCAAAAAAAAGGCATTTTAATCACTTTTCTCGGCTTTAATTCCGTTAATTTTATCAAAAACGATAGAAAGTGGCAATAGCTACTGCTGCCACTCTTGGGAGTGGTAATCGGCATTCTGTTACTTCAGCCCTAAGGTGATTGATACACCTGTCCATAACGTTTCTTACTATAGTACTATTGCTTTTGTACTCGTTTGACATATTAGTAAGGAAAACACTCAACTTACACTTTCACACTAGATTATTATCTAATGATTTATTATTAGGTGTACAACGAATGGATGGTATTGGCTGTTCATTCGTTGTATGAGATTTGAAAGGCATAGAGCGGTTTTTTCCTCTCGCAGTAAGCTGGGATTTTGTAGGCATGAACGCTTGTTTACTCACTGCAGGCTTGAGTGAGAAATGAAGAGAAACATAATTCAGCGAACTGATGCAAAGTTGCAGTATTGAAACTATAATGTGAAATATTCCTAAGTTCATCACTTAAGTCATTGTTTAGTTTCCATTTGTGTCTCATTTTACAGCATTGACTGAGAATAACCCTAGGGCTGTCTGAAGTCGATGCATAACTGTCCCATACGTGATCTTAAGTCGAAACTTTTGGTTATGTTACTAAGATGGTTTCATTTCTTTGCTTTCAAATCGCTGTTTGTTTGACTTGAATATTGTTGAATCAACACATCGCCCTTCTGAATCGATATTTAAGTGTCTTTTAAACAACTTCAATATGGAGATTATAAATAATTAAGGCTACTTTTGAAAATATCTTTTGCGAGCTTGAAATCTCATTTAGAACTGTTATTTTGATGATGATAGAAAGTGGAAAAGTATTGGTAAAAAATCAGCCAAAACTGTGTGATGATAAGTTATTTAAAACATTGAAATTGTTGCATTTTTTTCTGTGTGTGAATAAATTTGCTTGAAGATGATTCGTGAACGAGTCGAAAGCTCATAAAAGGTATTTTCAAAAGTAGCCTCACTTAATTGTCTTTATATTAAAGTAGTATGTATATTACGTACGTCGTTTTATAACATTCAACATATATATTTTAAAATTTTCAATGGTATAACTGTCTAGATAGTTATGTTTACTTTTTGATTCTACTATTGACATAAAATATTTTTTTTATATCTGAAACAAATATTTAGAAAACGATGAGAAAAATTTCTTTTGACAGTATATTTGACTATATAATCAGCAATTTTCTGTATGTAATATTCGATATTGAATATGCTTTTTTACATTGACTTTTTTCAAACGTTCGTTGTTTTGTTATTTCTATGGGCACTTGAAACGTTGGTTTGTTGCATGTGGAATTATTGCCATACATTTGTGGTATTATTTTTTTGTTCTTTGGAAAATAAAAAGAAAGTACTATTGTATTTTAAAAAAATTGAGGGTTCATTTAAAATTATTATTATTTAAACGTGAAACATGGGTTTTTATCCTTTTACGGAATGTTGTTCGTTATTTATATTATCTTATTGAAGAATTAGAAAGAAATTATTTATTCAACTGTGAAAAAGAAGTTAGTTTTTTAGTAATTATTTATTAAAATCCACTCAATTTGATTCATTTTTTTCTTCCATAGTATTTAAATCAACAACATTTTATTAAATGATGTAATAGTGCAAAAGAAATATTTTTTGTATCATTACTCTCTTAAAAACAAATTGTAATAATACATACCAAACCATGAGTTGCATGAACTGTATGTATTGTTTAATGACCGTTAAATAGACAAAATCCTATTTGATAAAATGATTCAAACGATCCTTTTCTTCTTATTTGTCCATACGTCATGAAATATTGAATCAGTCTTCTATATTCTTTTCATTTATAATTTGTCCTTGTATAGCCAAATGGATTTGTACTCTTTAAATACAGTATGTATTAATACATGTGAAATAAAATAAGTTCCATTTCCTTCGTGTTAAATTTTTTGCTGATTTATTCACATTAGAAAGGAGCAAAACCGTCCAACATCATGAGAATGACACTGTATTATATATTTATACCATTTTTAATTTCTTTTTTTTTCTTCTTGTTCTTTCCAGTTGTTGTCAACCTAAAATATTTGGAGAAAGAGAGAACCAGAGTAAAGAAATAAACTTACTTATCCGTTGTCACGGAGCGAGAAAATGTGTGTAAATAATAAAAATAAAAAAAAAAGAGAAAAAAATTACATTCTTGTTGCATGTATCAACGAGATTTTATTAAACAAAAAAAAACTAAAAAATAAACTAAACAAAAATGCAGTCACGCGCGTTAGTTTTTTAGTACAGAGAATTGTTTGAACAAAAATAGAATATTATTTTAATGCAATAACAGCCAGGCATCAATGCTACTAACAATCGTATTTTTGGGTGCTATTTGATGTTGTAGAACGATGATAAAGTGAAAACGACCACCTCTCTTTTATACTTCTTGGTATCTTAGTTAAAAGGTGTATGTTATATCATTAATGAACTTCGAATAAATATCATTGTCGTACAATCATCGCAAAAAAACCAGCCAATGAGAACGAGTCAATTTACGATGAAGAAAAGTCACAAAACAAATGTTATACATATACTCCATTTGAATAAAACAAATATAAAATGGTTCCGTCATTGTCCTCGATACCAATTTCAATTTGGAATGTTTAATATATAGATATAGATATATATACGTATATCTAAACTCTGACAAGCCCGCTTAGACGAAAGAATTTAAGAAGATTAATAAAGCGTGACAAAAGGACGTTGTAGTGATATGTATAAAGAAGAAGACTCAACATCATAGATTTGTTTTGCTTCGATTATTAGGGTATTTAGTACAATCGAAAGAGGTACGTTTTAATACAATATAAAAGTATGTTTCATGTCTAATATTTTTTAATATATATATATACAGTGAAGATGATTAGTCATTTGGGATATTTTTGAAAAATACAAAAGATCAAATACACATGGGAAACAATATATCAATGATTATATTAAACAACTTTATCTAAATTTAAATTATTATACAATAAATAAAATTGGCATATGATAAATGAAGATTTTTATATAATCAACATAGTATATCGAATTGATTTAATTTATTTGAACATTGTTGATGATATTTCTTCCAAAATTTTTCTGTAAAAATATAAGATATTGGATAGATAGATATATCATGATCTCTTCTTGAATCTTGAACTTGATTCGAATTCTTCATTCATTCAATTCACGTACAATTGTTTATAAATGAAATTTGACTACGTGATCTCTTCTCGTCTTAATTAAAACTTTTGACGTCTGAACATAACTTTTCAAATTCAATTTTCACGAATGATTTTCCCATATATTTCAAACGTTAGTCGTTCTACTGTTGATCAAACATCCACTATCTAGAATTACATCGATAATATCATAATGTTTGATCTTTCTTGTGCAAGGATGTTAGAATAGATTTTTCTTGTTGTTCATCTTATTGGGAGGATGTTTCTATTTATAGAAACAGAATTTATCATCAATTGTTATAATTCAGTTCATGCTGAGGTTCTTAATTTCTGTAGATGGTTTGATTCTATATTTTAATATTTTCTTTATACTCATGATTTCTTTTCCACACTCAAGAACGGAAAGAAAAAGTAATAGTGGTCTTGTATGATATATTTTATTCGATTGTAACATTACGTGATATATATTTTGTTAGAAAATAGTTCATCACACCTTTATCTTGTTTTATATGAAATCATCGATCGTTAAAAGATAATACGATATTAGTTATTTTTTTTGGAAAGAAAAAGTTTATTCATTGTAACATTTTTAATAATTTACTATTAAAATCGACGCTTGAAATTGTCCGATGATGAATAATTAAATATTTCCTTTTTTGTGTCTTTTCATTCATGTACCAACTTATTCAAAAATAGCCAAGTTAATAAATGGAGCATTTAACAACAATTATAGTTGCGTCGATAATCTTTCTTTAATCAAAGATTTCTTTCTCATAAAATACAACGTAGATTTAAACTGTGTTTTGTCTACATCTCATAAAAATGCCTTCTTCCTAGAGTGATAGACTTCTCTACAAACCTTATTTGTTGTTTATATAAACGTAAGCGTGCTTCATTCCTGAAATCGGCCACTTTCTGAATATTTATATTACCGTCCTAGTGACGTGCTGCTGCAATATAATTATTTATCAAAAATTTTAATATACGTGTGGAAATGACAAAAAATACCAGAAAAAACATCGAGTGGAGTTATATTTGATATTGATGCTAATGAAATAAAAGCAATGATTTGGAAATTGAGTTTAGAAGAACAAACATAAAGTATTAATCGAATAGATTTGATTTTGAAGACTATGAACAACTTATCAAAATCATAATGAACTACATATTCGTCTTTCTCAAATACTTTTCATTTTGTATTATAATATTTTTTTTTTTATATTCAATTGTTTTACATAAACAATAGCATTATAAAAATATATATTTTTGTTTTGTAAAAAGATCTTTCTTTTTTTTTTATTGGAAAACGTGGGAAGTACGTTTGAAGTATGATAGCTTCTTTTAGTTTGATATAACAAAGGAAGTTGTCAATCTATCCACAAAACTACAAACAAACTTGTTTATGTGAAGTTTCATTTTATATTCTATATGAACTATCGTTGCTTTTTAACACAAAAAAAGGAAAATTAAAATCTTCCAGTAAACAGAGAAAGAAGAAGAATCATTTAAGTTTAGAATAGTTGAGGAATTTTATGATTATCAAAATCTAAATAAAATCTTGATCATGTTCTACTATCTTGCGTGAATAATCAAGATATAATTCTTATTTATCTTATTTGTCTTAGAATATTAATAAAATTATGTAATATGTTTAGTCTGTGTTTTATGTTAAAAAAATTCATTTACTATACCGTTAATTCTCTATTCATTGTAGTATGGATAATAAAATTAGAAAGCACTTCACAATTCCAAAAACGTCTGTCGCAGAAAATGGTATGTGTTTTTTAAATGGAAAATAAATGTTGACATAGATCAAAATCGATTTGTGTCAGTTTTTTAGAGAACAGATTTTATTTTTCGATTATTTCTTAATGTTTTATTAAATTTCTTTTTGTTATTGTTTAGATTATTTAATTCCCGATAATAAAACGAGTCGAAATACAACTGATTTATTCAACGATATTATCTCATGCTGTTTAGATCATACATTTGATTTAAAAAAAAATGAAATAGAAAATATTTATTTTTTTCGAAATTCACAAATAAACAAACAATATACGTACGCAGAACACGTATATAAAAATATTTTTAATTATTGCTCGTTATTGTTAACGTTTTTCCTTTAGTGAGAAAAAAGCAAGTTTTGACAAAAATTACAAAGAAAAATTTATTTTTCAAATATTGCCAACGTTAGATGTCGCTCGTAGTATAGCATCTAAGGGCATACATTGTGATCAACTGGCGCTATTTGTCGATGAACGATTAGGTATATAACTAATGTTTTTTTTCTTTGTTTGTTTGTTTATTTGTTTGATTGTATTCTTTTTCGTGCTTAGGACAATCATCGCAAGGTGTACATGTTCTTCGTCATGCTGATATTATTTTAACTTCAACTGGTTCACAAAAATTAATTTCATTCGGCTTACTTATCTGTAAAGTAAGTGAATAAAAAATAAATATGACTTTTGGTTTATTATTTTCTATTTTAACTAGGTAGCATTATCAAAAGGCTATTGTACAGTTCCAGATATTAAAAATGCAACCTTAGCGTGTCAACCAAATTATGATTATCATTATGGTAAAAGAAATCCAACAAAAGAAGAAACTTGGAGAGAAAAATATGCACATTCATTGGTATGATCAGTGGTTTATTATCTACTTCTCAAAATAGTTTGAAACATTTATTGCACGAGAATGAAGAACATATGTTTTTTGAGTTCACAAGTAGAACTTACTTAAGATATTTTTTATGCTTAATTTTTAGTTATATGTTTATGAATATGGTATGAAAACTATGACACACACTGTACAGCCGCCACAAATACTTCCTATTGCTTGTTTATGGTATCAATTGAATGAATCATTTCCTTGTGAATCGTGGACTGTTAAAATTCCACCACTATTACAACATTCATCTCTAAAGATTGTCCATAATACTAATAAAAAAATTGATCGACGACCACTAAATAAACCATCTATATTAAATCAAGAACAACTGAGTCACAGTGTTTTATCACCTATTCAATCCATAATTACTAATCGTATAACATCGTTCGATAATACTAATACTGGTTGGCCAGATATAATTAATTCACCAATGATTACTGAAACGCATTCATTAAAACAACAAAAAAACACATTTATCAATCAAACTCAACTGTCTAAACAAATATCAATGCTAAATGTACCAATAATAAATTCAACTATCGCGACACCTATCGGAATAGCAGAGCCACAAGATATAATATTAAAATTGAGTCCATCATCAAATCGTTCAATAATTAATTTAACAAATCATTCATTAATAAAACATCAAAATATAACGACACAACCTCATCATGATGTTAATGAAACATTTCAGAATAATCATTCATCAGTAAATTTCAATATTAATAATAATAATATTGAATCTCATTCTCTATTAACATCAGTAAGCTCAGATTTTTTAATGTCAGATAAACAATTTCATACACCAAGTACACGTGATCCACGAATTCGACGTACAATAACTACGACAAAAACGTCTACATTAAACGTTACTGATTTAAATAGTAATGTATTACCTAATTCACCCACCACAATTCGTTCGCCATCATTAACAGTAACCCCTACTGAAGTAGCTGCATTGAAAAAGACAATTTTGGATATATCATCGACAAATAAACTATTGCAACATACAACTAAATCAAATAATATTAGTCAACAAAAAATAATTCAGCAAAATGAAATGTCTCCAAGTACACCCGTTACACCTACAAACACAATAAATGACGATGGAAAAGTAAATCAATATAATTTAAACCCATTATTTGCTTCGATAACATCATTAGATGTACCACTCAAAATGAATACATTAATATCTGATCCACGTTTAAAATTAAATCGAAAAAAAGTTATTTATTGTTTAGAACCACATGCCGTAAAACGTGCTATTCAACAGCAACTACGATGCATTCATTACAATAGTAATGATACAACGGGTAGTAAGAAATCACCATATCATCTGATACCATTCTTAATTAAACAAATATCACTAGATGAAAATGAAAATTTAAATATATCAGCAAAAGTAAGAATGAAATATTGTTCATTTTTTCACTGCGTATTCAGATAAACTTTATTGAATGTTAATAAAAAAAAACGACTATGTTGCAGTCTGACACGAAAGAGAAATTGTAGCTTATTTGTTGACAATAGGTCTCCCGTTCTTTTCTTGACACTAGTTTACTTACGTTCTTTCTCATTTTAACACTTTTGGTTTCTATTTTTAGAATTCATCATTTATACTTGCTAAACAACAGACTAAGAAAAATGGTAATGCGCCTTCTTTATCAACATCAGAACTATCTGAAAAACCTTTTGACGATTGTCAACCATTACGCGTTGTTGTTCAAGATGTAACAAATTTTAACTTTGATTTTACCACTGACAATGAAAATTACATTGACTTGAGTAATGAAACCAATAAAAATGTCATGCGTCAAATAATAAACTTTAATAAAAAAATTCAACAAAATCGGGAAACAAATGTTCTAAAACAACGGTTAAAGCAGTCATTGAAAAAAAAACGGGTAAGAAAGAGAAAATCAAAAACTGCTGCTCATGTATATTGTCAACAAGCTGTTGAAAATATGAACGAAAATTTGACCATAGAGCAACAACAAATTGAATCAACTGAAAATCGAGCGATTGAAGAAATACCAACAGCAATTATAACAGCAATATCAGAGAATGGTCACATACTATCACCCAATGAATCTAGCAGTAGTAATAATACTGAAGCACTAGTGAAAGATGCTCGTCGTTTGTATTTTTTTAATGGCCGTGAAATATTAACAAAGCAACGTCGTCAAAATAATTATTTAAATATTCCTAAAGATGTTACCAATTTTCTATCTAAAGAATTTTACGAGGAAAAACGGCCATATGTCAAACGATTATTAGCTCAGTTAATGGGAATACTTGATGAAAAATACGGTCGAATAGCAACAACAACAAACAGTGAAAGTATGTTGCAAAGGATGTACACTAAAGATAGCTGGAAAATGTGTCTAATTCAAAATTCAATTGAATAAACTCGTGCTTTAAAATTTTGGTGACTTGTAATAAAATTACTACCTGTACAACTTTTTTTTGATTTTAGCTATGAGAAATAGTATGGTGATTGACAATTCAAATTTAACTAATATGGAATTCACGTCCAATGGTGATGTTCGACTTGGCGATTTTGATGAACGATTTCCATCCCATTACAGAAAATCCCACAACTGCAATCATCATTCAATAATACCTTCAGATAATCATCATACTACTGATTTTACTCCAATACAAACATACCAGAATACTAATGATTGTAATAATCTCGTACTTGATGAACGTATGAAAGAAATTATTGATGATTTGCGTTTGATACATCAACCTTCCACTCAGCAGTTATTCAATGATCCAACACTTACTGAAACATCATCAACAATTGAATATCGAAAGCAATCAAAAACAACGGATGAATTAGTGAATCTCATTGAAAACAGTGGTGAGAATAGTACATCAACTAGTAGTAGAAAGCAAAGTTGCAATGAAATTAATAATCATATATTGCCATATCAACAACCAGATGGCAATGTTCCTGATATCTCATCAACACTTGCTCAAAAGCCTATTGAAGTACATAAGGAAATAACAACAAATGTTACAATGAAAAACAACACTTTTCCTGCCGTACTTGATACATTTACAAAGCCAGATCCAAAATTGAATAACTCGTCTACCAAAAAATCATTATCCTCGAAACATTCAGAAAGTCAAAATTTAAGACGAACAAGAACATACTCATCATCTAAGTCAACATCATCAGTCTCTTCGGGTACTAACGCAAGTTCATCTTTCACATCGTCATCCTCTTCGCCTCGTCATCGTCGATTGAAGCGACACAATATTGAAAGCAGAAAATATTCATTGTCTTACGGTAAATCGATACATTCATCCAGGAATTATCTTAATGAATATCGGAAACGGTAGGTTTGAGAACTTTTGACTAACTTTTTAAGTTAGTATCTCCATTGAGGATGTATCGTGACTGTGGTGCACGAGGAAGCAGCCTTTTCTATAAGTATTTCGTTTTCTACTAATTTGTTAGCATTAGTTCAGCAATTGTTACCTTTTTCTCTTTCCAGTATACAGACTTCATCCTCCCGTCGTGGTTCGACTAAAGGAGCATTTCATGGTGTTTCATCATTATCGACAACTACCTCTCGAAGTAATTGGAACAGTCATAGACATGCTAAACCATCGCAACAGGTGAAAATCCCATCATCTCATCGAACTGACACATTTTCTAAATCACTAAGAAAAACACATTCATTACCGTCGACCACAAACCGTCGTCGTCCATCTGTTTCCTCTTCGTCCCAACAGCTTATAACACCACTTCTGCTGTCATCTATAGTAGTAACTCAAAGTCCCTCTCGTTCGAACAGTATACATTTATCACATCCCATTCTGGACAATTCATCAACAGTATTACCTCAATATCCAACCATATCAAATTCCTATAATAGTGAATTTGAATCTCGAAGACGAGTCGAATCATGTGACGATATATTTGGCGATAGTGCTAATCAAAATGATAACTTCGATTTAACAGTCAATTGTGAAAGAACAACGGTTAAAACATCGAAAAAACGACAAATTGAACAATCACTGAGTTTGAAAAAGGAAGTAGATGAATCAGAAAAAGTGAATGGAAATAGAAACGAATTTGAAATAAATAATCTAACAGCAAATATAGTTAGTGTTGCAGAACCAATTGCAAAAAGGATAAAAATAGAAAATGTTAATGTTGATCAGCAACAAAAACAACCAAGTTCTCCTCTGGATTCACCTATCGATATGAATGATATAGACGCAAATCATGAAAGGACAAGAATAATTAATCGGAGCCATACAAACGAGAAAGAGAATATGATAAATAAAAATGAAAAAATTAATGATGGCACGAATTTTGAAGGTAAGTAACCCCTATGTTTTTTGCAAACAGAAATAGAATAAAAATATTGAAATTCCCTATTAAAGGACTATTTTATTCCTCTAGATGCTTTTTTGACCAATGTGTAGATTTCTCAATGTACGCTGAGAGCTTACTGTCGTATTTGTGTCTTAAATCCTCGCCCTAAAAATGACAGGTTATTCAGGTCATAACAGTAATGTATTGAGAAGTATTTTCTCTCAATACATTACTAGAAGTATTCTCAAGTTAGAGAAGTATTCTCTAAAAATTTTACCATAGAAAAATTTGTGAGAAATCTATATTTTTACTTAGGCGGATTTCAACATTCACTTGGAAATATTATTCTTACTCAATTGCAAAACGATAATGTCCGTAATGCTAGCGGTGATGATGTACAAGATAGAGACTATCGTTTTGATTTTGAGAATCGAACAACGGTAAATCAACAATCACACACACATAACATTAAAAATTTAAATGAAAATGTGACTATTGAAGAACAAAATGATTTTGATGAACGATTATTAAACAATGTTATCGATATTGAAAAACAAAATCCTACTAATTTAACATATAAAAGACGCTCAAAATCAAATTCTTTTAGTTCAGTCAAGGATGAAAAGTTAAATCCATCCCGTTTATCATCCACAAATTCGCGTAATTCATCTAAAAATAGTTTTTATCGTAATAATAACAATCGTTCAAATTCAAGGAGCCCAATTCATCATCAATCGTCGTCATATCATCGTCATGACTTAAATATTCATCATCATAATCAACATTCACCTAGTCAAAGTAATCGAAGAACAAAATATTCATTAAGTCAGTATCATCATCGATCAACTTCTCAATCGACACGATCTTCACGTTCGCGTAGTCCAGATAAATATCGTACTGTTATAACAAGTGCATCGTCTCATCATCCGTATGATAGCCGTTATTATCCTACATCAACATCCAATGTAAAGACTTCTCTCAGTCGTAGTCATTCATCAAGAAGTAGACAACAAACAAGTACAACGCATCTGCATGACAATCGGCAACAACAAAGAGATCGAGACAAAAGCCAAAGTCCTGAACATCAACATCGGTATTTTGTATCACGTTCCAAATCACCCCCACAACATCAAGGAATGCATTCCGCTTCTCTATTACCATCTCCGTTAATAAAAACTACGTTTAATAACAGTGAAATTCCATCAACATTTGAACATAAATTGAGTCGTATGCGTATGATTGAAAATGTTCAAAATAATAATAATGTTCAAACAAGATATCCTCATACACGATTTAACTATAACCATCAACGATTAATCAATCATCCACGTTATAATACATATTATTATAATAAAATACGTAAAATACCATCAACAATCTCACCACCTTATCGTCTGGCACAGTCAACACATGATATTTTAACTGATAATCAACATTTACGCAGATCAAGAAGTATATCACCCACACATTCAACTGAAAGGTTGAGAATTAATTGTACATTTTCAAAGCGAAAGTAAATGAAACTATCTTTTAAAGTTCTCTGATCCTATATACACGCGAAAGAATAAAATGCACAAATCTCTAGTGATAAATTATTTCTAAGATAATAAGTGAAGTAATGATAATTTTTTTATGTTTTTTATTTTTTCTTATTACGCTTCGTACCTTTTTTCTTGGTTTGAGTGATTCTGTTTATTTTTTTATTATTGCCGTCGAATTACTTAACCATACCAGGTACAAAAAGGATTTACAGAATTTATCTTTCATGAATTTACTTTCCGTTGATTATTTTTTTATTTTAATTAGCTTTTCTCCTACAGTAAAGAAATATAATGATAATATGTAAAATAACTTTTAAGTAGAAGACCTGGAATGTCATTTTTTTTATCCTTTAGTTTTCCTAAGAAAAATAAATGATTTATTTTATTAAAAAAATACTTTTCGTAGGAAAACTAACGGTTCTCTATAGGAGACTTAATTATTCATACACTTTCCTATAGTTTCAATTTTGGCTAATATGAGATACTTTCAATGCCCATCTGACCATTAAATAATGATTTCTCCTGTTCAAGAAAAAGTTTCAAATGTTGATAAATAACTAATGGATCAATGGCTTATTAGTTCTATATATATATAGTTGTAAATATTATCCATAGCAAAATTTTAATAGATAACACAGTGTGCATACCCGTGAATATTGTGAAATAATATGTGGATACGTGTAACAAAAATTTTTCTGTGATATTTTTTTTTTTTGCATGACTACAAGTAAAAATTGTAAAATGTGTATTGAACATACGTGAATTGACTGCTACTTTTACTATTACCAGTATATATTTTTAAATAGAAGTAATTGGAAATTAATTCGTGGAAAGTAAATCGTGTATACGTGCAGAAAAGATCCTCTATGATAATAGAACTATAGAAAATGTTAAACTTTTGTTGTTATTGATGTATGTGAGTAATTGATAAAAAAAAGTGTTATTAAACACCTTTACGCTTTAGTAGTAAAAGGCAATGATAATTTGTTTAATAACATGTTTTGTACTGATTATTAGATTGATTCCATTGTCCAAGAAGTATTCTAGTAAAAATTATCAAATTTCTAAACGCATCCAACTAAAACAAATAATAAAAAAACACTCTTTTCTATTGTTTATTGTATGCTACAGTAATTAATGTGCATGTTATACTTTTTTTTTTCTAATTAACATTCTTTCTTTCATTAGCATCCGTTTATAACATTCAAAAAACGTTTTATTTTTAATTATTATTATTAACAAAATGTTTATATGGAATAGAGTTTCTAGATGAAATGTGATCAAAGAACATCGTCTTTTAAGTTTTAATATTTGAGTTTATATTATTTGTCGATTATTTCTTCTCTTGCTTCTTCATTTCAGCTCATATTGACATTAATTTAAAATCTTCTTTGCCTAGAACTTTTTAAGCAGCTGAGGAATGAGTTTTATTACAAAGATTAACAGTTTTAAACATTTTAATATTGTATTTCAAAATAAAAAACGTTCATTATTATAAATGATCATTCTATACAACAGTTGATTAGAAATGGGCATTGCTGTATTCGTATTCCCATCTGCAATTATATAATTATTTTAGAATGATTTCATTGAATTTCAAAAGTTTTAGAAACCTAAACAAATTCAGTTGCATGTATGGATTTATTCCTAGGTGACTCAAACAGAGCATATATCAGTCTTTTATATGTTCATTCTACGTATTTTCTACTATTGTTTGTATATTATATGGATACAAAACGATGCTTTAGAGTTCGCAGTCTGCTTGTAGTCGTTGGAATTACTCTGTGTATTGACAGAATAGTAACAGCAGCTGTTTTTAGATTCATATTTATTTAATAAAAATTATTTAAAAATAAATTTTTATTAAATAAATATGAATCTAAAAACAGCTGCTGTTACTATTTTATCAATTCTAAAATTTCTACGCCTGAACAAGTATAATACTCTGAGTGTATGTGTCTGACCGCTTTTTTCTTACAACCTTCATAAATATAGACAATTTCTGATGTTGATCTCGAATCTGATATCCGTTCGAACCCATATTGTCGTTTAGAGTGGATCGTTGGAAAACTAGTCTTTAAAGACTCATCTTAAAATAAAAGATGGAGAGATTTCGATTTGTCAGTCTTGTAGAGCACGTCGAGTTACCTTTATGAAACAATTTTCAGATCTGAAGACTGAGTTTTGGCTGAGCTCAAGAAGTTATAGGCTAAAGACAGGTGAAGAATGAAGGCTTTGCAGGAGATCGGGATGTAAAATTCTTTGAACTCACTCAATACTCAGTCCTCAAATCTGAAAATTGTTTCATAAAGGTAACTCGACGTGCTCTACAAGACTGACAAATCGAAATCTCTCGATCTTTTGTTGTAATATTTCTTCAGCGACTAATTTTTCAAAGATCCACCCTAAATGGCCATATGGGTCCGAACGGATATCGGATTCGAGATCAACATCAGAAATTGTCTATATTTATGGAAGTTGCAAGAAAAAAGCGGTCTGACACTTAGTGAGGTTGCCTCGTCAGTAATGAGAACTTTCCCTGTATGCATACACTCTAAAAATAGTCGTAGAATAAAAAACTAAAAAGGGTTTTTCATTTTGAAACGACACCGAACGCTTTTTTGTATTTTAAAGTGCTCAAAAAACCCTGCAAAAAATCCTTGAGGGTATAAACTTGAGTTTGTTGATCAACCTTTAGGATTTTTTGAGCACTTCAAAATACAAACAAGCGTTCGGTGTCGTTTCAAAATGAAAAACCCTTTTTAGTTTTTTATTCTACGATTTTTTGAGCTGTGATTTGCTAAATTGCTTCAAGAAAAAGTAGTCTAATACAATTCTAGTTGTATTTTTGTCTATTTATGAATTTAAAGCTATCTCGTTTAAAGGAGCGCTATTATTATGTGCTAGCGTATTGAAATAATTTAATTTAAATTCCTATTATACTGAAGGATAGGTTTTGATGTCGTGCTTTGTGAACCCTAAGATAATGCTCTGTTGTTGTTGTTTTAGTGAAATCAATCCATTTGATTCAACAACAGATTCGAACGTTGAGTTCATTTCAAAGAATAGTAATGGTAAAGACTTGGGTGAATCGATGAATGTAAATACGTCATCACATGAACAACATATTGCGCATGATATTGAAACCATAACCGATGTGGTATTGGCAAACAATGAAAAAGATGTTGATTCAACAAAACTAAGCCCTGCCCATCGAACATCAGCAGCAGCCCGTTGTCTCACAACAGGACTTCTTCCATCGTCACAATCACAAACATCCCTTTCAACCTCCACATCATTGACTTCACCAAATCACCATAATTATCATCCTACCCTCCCAACTCAGTCGCCTTCTTCTCGATTTGCCACTCATGAAGAATTGTCTGCTAGTAAACATCTATCACAACATTCGTCGACTAAGCAACATTCAACGAATAGACTCAGTACTGTGCAGCAGATTCAACAATTATTGACGACTACTAGTGCTAGACAAATACTCCATTCGACTATACTGCAACAAATTGCCGATACAAGACAACATAACCCAATGATTTTAAATAATTTACTTCAGGGCACACAGCAACACACGAATAATTCCACGATGACGGCTAGTAGAAGACTATTTACAAATACATCGACATCAACCTCTTCATCAACCTCTTCATCAATTACAACATCATCATCAACATCAGCTCGATCGTTAAATGATCATGATACCGAAAAGCTTTTATTATTATTACAAAAACTTCGCTCATAGAAATTATTGGTGACCGCGTCTTTATTATCAGATGATGCATAATGTTTAAAACCAGGTATTCTTTTTTTTCTACGTTTTGTATGTATGAGTGTGTGTGTGTAGACAGACGATGCTTCTATCGTATTAATTAAGTTTCAAAACTATTTGTGTAGCCAAATAGTATACTTCAATTTTTTTGTTTGTGAATTACTTTCACGCACGTGTTACATGCAAAAAATTAAAAAGAAACAGTTTGATTTTGTTGAATAGATGCAGTGATTCTTTTTCTTTTTGTGTTAAAATAGACTGAAATGTTTTCATAGTTGCATAATCAAGTAATTTTCATCAATGTTTATAGTCTGACGTTTGTTTGTTTTTGTCATGACAAACAAAATCTTGTATGCAGTAAAAAAAAGAAAATTCTAACCCCCTTTTCGTTTTGTGTTGGTCTGTTTTTCCATATTTTTTCTTCTATTGATATTTTTGTTATTACTATTGCTTTCACTCGTTTTTCTTTTCTTGTTTTTGATATATATATATATACAGCTTCATATGGACAGTTTCACAGAAAAAGTGAAAAAATTAAAATATAAATAAATTCAACATGTTTTTGAGTGAAAGCAAACTAACGTTATGGTAGATAAAGGAAAGATCTAACGAAACAGGATACACTTGCTGATGAACATTAACAATACATCACCAGAACAAAATTATAAAGAACTATTTTTTTGACATCACAGATGACTTTATCGTATCATCACTATTCATGCCATGAAATTAGGATGAGACAAAATATGCTAAATTATTATACTACTTTTATTGTTTTGCTAGTTTATTTCTCTAACAAAAAAGTAAGTCAGTATAAAAATAAATAAATAACTGAGTTAAGAAAGACAACTGGGTAGCATGAATACTCATTGTAGAAATAATCATATTTTTCTATATAAATTATCTAATTGTTCACTATACAATGTTTGATAATTTAAATTAGATGGATAAGAAATTGACAACTGATAGTTTGATTTAATAGAGTGAAATTTCTTATGTAAATATTTTCCGTCAAATAATACTGGCACTGTGATTATTTTCGATAAATTAGCATGTGAATTCGTTATTATATCAAATAAAAAACCGGGTTTTACTGTTGAAAATGATTTTTCAATATTTATTTTCACTGTTTTAATCAATTGTATTGAACTGACACTATTAACAATTAAACGAAATGTATGTAATGATGAAAATATATTGATATTCATATTTTTTTCAATATATATAATTAAATCTTTGTTTAAATCACTTTTATTTGAATAAATTTCAATTATTTCTAATTGTGATTGTTTCGATAAATTATCTAACAATTGTTTTGTCAAAATAAATGAATCATCTACAACAATAAATGTTTTTAATTTTGATAAAATATTTCTCGATAACAATACATTGATTGTAATATGTAATTGAGATACACCTTTAACATCGATGACTAATGTTTCAAGATAGGAACTAAATTTTTGACAAATTAAATTGAGATCATTGATTTTTAATTCATAAAATGGCATACGTATACTCAAATGATGTAATTGAATCAGCGTATAGGCTATATTTTGTAAACAATATCGAATAATTTCTTCATAATAAAATACGATATCAAATATTTCATCATGTATGTGTGTTTCGTCATAACGTAAACAATGATAACGATAATCATCTTCTAGTATAAAACATTTTTCTTTCATATTGTTTACACCACAAACAATGTTTAACGATTTTAACTGTACCATTGATGAGAATGAACAAAAATGTGTTTGATATATTGATAGAACATTTGTGTTGTTACAGTGACATAGATTATTGTCAATATAAATGAGTGTACACGGTGTAATAGATAATGTCTCCACATTGATTAATTGTTGAAATAAATACGTGAAATTATTTGAATGACAATGGATTCCAGTCAAATTTAAATTCGTTAAAGATCTTAACCATTGATTATCTAGTTTAAGACGTAAAATTGGTAAAGTTGTATTCGTTCTTGTTCTGATTGAGGATGGATGTGAAAATTCAAGATAATAATAACTTTCGCTATTATTATTTGTATTCTCTATCATAAATGAATCATCCATTGGTTCCTACATAGAAAAGTAAGGCAGATAGAGGTGTGTATCATCAATATTTGGGAAGTACTCTCAATATTTATGAAGTCATGTCTTTTTCTGAAGTTCTGCTACTAACAACATTTGCTACTCAACATCAATCTTAAAAGTCCAAAACTTACACTTTCCTTTTCATCGTCTATTAATAATATGTCCGGCTCGCTAAAACAATCATCGAAGATGGACGAAAAGATCTTTGTTTCAACATTTGTTTGATCCATTATTGCTGTTGTTGTTGTTGTTCTTTTAACGAGATGAGATTCTAATGTTGTCAGCCATTGTTTTGTTAAAGACAGTGCAAGATTTTGAAGCTGTCTTGATTGTTGTTGATTGTTTTCAAATAAAGATTGTAACGATTGACTATTCTCCTCGGTGAAGGTGGCATATTCGATACAAAGTGTTCTCAATTGCAATAGATCAATCCAGTCAAAACATGGTGGAATGGATGGCAAGCATAGTGTGAATAATTGTAATTTTGTATATTCTTCAACAATTGAGGATAAATTATTTTTATTTGTCAAAAGCATACTATGACAAAACGAAACAATAAGATGTTTTAAAGATGAAGATAACTTTTGGATTACAAGAGGAATGTATGTTTGTATATGGTCTGATGAAAATAATGTGGGATAAAGACGACTTTCATCATAATTTAACTCTTCTAATGTAATGATTTCACAGCAAGTCATTGTTGTCAGAGCATTAATACAATTCTGGACACATTGATCAGGTAATCGACCATCTATAATTTAAAAAAGAAAGATATTCAAGAGAAAATCTTGAATTGCCGAGAGAAGATAAGCGAAAGTTTTTCGTAGCTACTTTAAAAAACGTATTACGACTGTGTTGAGTATGATGTTGTTGTCGAAGAAATCATTCATTCGTTCTCAAGCCGAAATACTTACCTATTGATTGTATAACAAGTGAAATTTGTTTGAGATTTGAACGGGTTAACGAATGACACAAATTTTCAAATATGTCAGTTGAATAAATGTAAAAATCAGATGGATTAGCATGTTGACTAATCGGAATATATAGTGTAAGATTTTTTAAATTTGATAATTTTATCAGATATTCGCATGTTGCTTTTGATAAATGAACATTGCCACTATGAAATGTATTTATAGAAGGAAAATATGTAAATAATCGACGAATTTGATTTGCCTTTAGATGTGATAAATTGTCGCTATAAAATAAAATACATTATTACGATATTGAATAAATATTCTCATCATCATTAAGAATAATAGAGTCAAACTATGTTGATAGTAGAGAAAATTATTAAGTGTTATGATTGTTCATAACTTAGAAAAATGTAAAGGATATTTGATTACCATCGTAGTTTTGTTGTATTAAAACCAACGATTTTGGCATAAGTGAGTAAACATTGATCATTATGACATGGCGATGTCAGATACGAATTCCTTTTAATAAATAAAATAATTTAGGAGCGAAATAGTGATTATAATGTAAGAATAAACATACACCCAAAAGCCACGTAAAGAAGCAATTTCAGTTTCATTAAAACCAGTTGCAATTAATAAATTATACATGTCAACAGTTGAATGACATCGTTGTGTTAATTCATACAAAATATCTTCGTTTAAAAATTTTGACATTTTCTAAAATTTAAAATAAAGACTTAAAATAAGTCAACGCTGTTCTTTTCAATAATATTTCTTTTTTTTAAGAGAAAGTGTAACATCCATTCAATGTGCCTTTGAAGTTATCAACACTAACTTGTGAATTTTTATCAACAAGGATGATAAAAATGTGTTCATATTTTCATTATAAAGTAAACCGATTACATAATTTCAAAAGGAAAATCTAGTCTTTTATATTGAAGAGTATGTTTTGCATCATTATTAAATACATTTCTTTAAATAAAAAAATAAAAAGATCGACGATATAATTTAGATTTCTTTGCAAGTCAGACAGCCCATACGAACTGTATGTTTCGCATCAGGAACCTTGTTCTCTACTAAAAACAGAATAATCGTCACAAAGACAATTCCAGATCACACAATTATCTGAATACAGAATTATCAGACCATAGATAAAAAAAAGATTATCAATACAATCTCATTTGAATCACATGCTTTGAATCGCACGAGAGGAAGAGACAAAAGTAGTAAAATAATTTACATTTTTTTTTCTTCAGGTGTTTATTTCACCAACAGACAATTGAATAACATCTTTAGTATTATTTGTAATTAATAATGTACCATCATTCATTAACGTAATAGATGTGAACAAACAATTTATTCCTGACGCAGTGACTGAAGCTGTAGTTGTCGACTGTTTTGGAATTAATTTAACCTCTCCAGTTTCATTGTTTTTATTGAAAAATCTCAAAATTGACCTTGTTTGATCGATCATAAAATAACCGCTTGGACTATTATAATAAAAAATTGGTAAACTACCAGTGTAGCCATCGATGGTGAATCGTTGTAGAAATTTCATCTTTTTATCGAATATTAACAAATGTATGTCATTGTTATACGAACGTTGTTTTACACAATGATGAGTAGCTAAAAGGAAAAAAATATTACCATCCGTTCCAAAAAAGAATGCGGATGGTTATTTTTTGAATTAACTTTTAATAAGAATGAGATAGAGACCTGCGGTTTTCACCATCATGTTGCTAAAACCGTAAGACATGTTTTTATAAGCAGACACTTGTTTAAAAATTTTCCGAAAGCCCGATTTTCCAGAGGATCTTTGGAAAAACTAGCTCCGTTCTCAGAAACTAACATACGAAGTTAGTAATTTCTTTGCATGCGTAGGTAGTCCGGACGTTACTCTACAAAATTATGCAAGTTCCACCTCTCCAGCTATCGTCGTTCGGACAGGGCTCGCTTTCCCCGAGCACGCGTCTGTCTCTGAGTAGACATCTCTGGAAATCTCGAAATGCCATGTAATATAGGTAATTGACTACGTTGAGCATAGTAGCAACATTTGTTTTTGTGTAGAAATGAAAATAAGTTTGCCAGAGTCATTTTTGTGAAAAACAGGTTTTTCGCCTGTTACCAGCAAAAATTGTTACTCACAAAAACGTCTTTTATGGTCTTAGCAACATGATGGTGAAAACCACAGGTCTTTATCTCGTTCCTATCAAAATTTATTCAAAGAATAACCATCCGCATTCTTTTTTGGAACGGATAGGAGTTATATTACTCATATTTTGTCTACTATTTTCAAAAGTTATCTCTTACAATGGAATTAGAAGATGTGAACAATCCTATCGACATAGAAAAATCTTTAAGCTATTTAGTAAGACTGCTGTCGTGATGTATACTTTTTTTAAAGTTCTCAAATTTAATAATATAAATTATAAAGAGTCATACATGATGGCGACCAGCTATTCTCATCGATATCCCATTCATCTTCATTCTCTTCATGATTTTGCTGTCCATGGTGTTGTAGTAAAACAATATGCTTATTGTTAACCGCTAAACCAACAATTTGTCCTCTATCATTTTGATGCACATGTTTTTTATTTATTGATAAACATTTATCTAATGAATAAACTCTTACATCTTGAAAATATAAATTTAATAAACGCAAATATTTTGCAGAATGATCGTTTGATTCGGTTTCATAACAATAATAAATATATTCAGCATCTGTTTGCATAAATACTGGCGGTGATGAGACTATTTCATTCATTAAACGATGACGTGATCTAATCTTCAAGCGATTATTATTATCTAATTCAATCGAATATATTGCACGATCTTGTGTCAATATCACATATGCTTCAATAGCTCGAAACCAATTCAAATGTGTAATATGATCATGGTACCAATCGAGTGTCATTTGTCGTCCCGTTTTATCATCCTGATAAATTAGTTTCTTTGATGTCTTTGAATAACATAATGTATCGGTACCGTTTGATGTCAGACATTGAATGTCGAAATCGTAATGACGCGGTAGCACTAAACGATAAAGTTTATAATCAAAAACAAAACTGTCGTCCATTTCGCCGTCGTGATTACGTGCAACTTCAACATTTTGCTCAATATCAAAATTGGATTCTTTAGACGACTGGATAGGAAAAATCTCATCTGCTACTAAATCAGTTGAAAGATAAATCTCAGAATCAACTGTAAGATTGATTGATGCGTTTTTATGTTCAACAGATTGATTTGTTGTTGGAGATAGTGCAGTGGAAAGAGTCGTGATTTCTAATTTTTGGTTTGTATTTTCGTTTCGATTCTCTAATTCATGTGATGTTGTATCACTTAGTTGTTCAGTAATAAAGGATATTTTATATTGTGGTAACAACGTTAGTACTGACGGCATATTGACTTCTTTAGTGAGTGTAAAATACTTTAACGCCATGTAGATATCATCTAATTTTTTTGTTATTTGATCGAACACTGTTATGTCATAAGCGCTATCTTGGGTTAGAAAATGAATTTCTTTACTAAGAGGTTGGAGCAGTTCATTGAAATCAGCTAATTTTATCTAAAATATTTAAATAAACAATGATGGTTTTATTCAACACTCGTTTACCAGACGCTTGCAGTAAACGATAAGGAAATAGGAAGCTCCAAACTAACAGTGAACTATACCTGTGCTTTATCTTGAACGAACTCTATATTATTGATAATTTGTTGTTGAGAATTAAACAGATCGTTTATAGATTTTTGGAACCAAGTTAAAACTTCATTCATACAAAATGCGGATGAATCAACAATATATTTTCGTTTTTCTTCCATTAACTGATTTATTTCATTATAACGATCCTGTAAACTATAAACGTTTTGTACCAAGTTTTCTTTGTGTAACGCGAAACATTCTAAGCAAAAATTTTGATTACAATGAAAACATTGACACAATGAGGCACGTGTACGATTAAAGTTTTGTAAACATAAATAGCAATTACGATTATGCTCAGTTGACGCGCTACTATCGTACCTTGTCGCCATTTTAATTTAATTACTGGCGATAAAATCTGATAAAATGCTAAAATAACAAGAACATCTAAAATTCACAAGAAAGATAATTCTTGAGTGTGGGAAGGGTCATAATACTGCTCAGTACAAAAAAAATTTACTTCCAATGCTTAATAACAATGTTTTTATTGTGAATAAATATGTTATACAACCGCTTATTTAGTTACAAAGGCCCACGGGTTGAAAACTTGGACTAGCCCGTACTACGTCTGACATGCGTATTCTCAACCACATTAAGAGAAAAGCTACGAAAAGGCAATCTCGAGAACTGCGCACGTGGTAAGGACCAGTCCAAATTTCCAAGGCTTGGGCTTTTGTAACTAAATAAACGGTTGTAGAACATATTTATTCAGTATAAACAAAGTCGAGTTTACAAGCTCGAAGTTGGAAGAGCTTGTGTTTGTTGTTTATCATTCGTGTGGTAAGGGGTGGCGGGGGCAGAACTATATGAAAGTTTAGTACCAAACCCATAAACATTACTGATACCACTTTGCCATTGATTCCGGCACACATTCTGCGGTACTTGTACAGATCGACAACCTTCTTACCACTATCATTACTCACCCTCACCGCCGCTCACTTTTACCACTAATCGATCTGTAGAAGAGCCCATTCTGCACATAAAAGTTCGTCAATTCTAACTGGTCGAACTCCTAATGAAAGTTCAGTCGTTCGTTTTTATCACACACTGTAAAAAAAACGCACGCTTTAATCGTGCTAACCTGACAATTTAAACGTCAAAAACTAACGCTTTTTTTTAACCTTACATTTTAACCCTACCCAGGTCACAAGATAACAAGATCTTGGAAAATCTTACAAGATCATATACGATCTTGGGTGATCGTATAATAAGAAATCATAAGATTTCAAAAGATCTTATCAATTCTTATAAAGTCTTACAAGATTTCATATGACATCTTGTAACAAGGTTCTTATAAGATTTTTCTTATCATAGGAATGGTACAAGATTTTGCAAGGTCTTACAAGATCATATGAATTCTTGTCATAAGGTCTTACAAGACCTTGTCACTTCTCATAATCAGATCTTGGGGGATCTTATAACAAGAAGTTACAAGATTCCATAAGATCTTATATTATCTTATAATAACGTCTTGTACGATCATATCGTAAGACCTTATTACAAGATTTCACAAGAAAACATCAGATCTTGCAATGTCTTACAAGACGTGTTTCATCTGGGTACCAACCCGATGCCTTTTTCAACGTTAAGTTTCAAAACGTTAAGTTGGTACGGTTAAACTGTAAGATTAAAAAGTGTCATTTTGTTGACGGTTAGACTATAGTTTAACCGTGTAAAACTTGCATATATGCAAGTTTTACACATATGTCACAACATTGGTCATTGGTTCAATAATCGGACCAATCATAACACTGGCAGAAAAGTTTTGTACAACATTTTCCTGTTATGTACTATGCACTGTCCCGGAAAAGCATCCTTTTAGAAAAAGCACACTTAAATTGTGCCAATGGCATGGAAAAAGTGTGCCAAAGTATGCTTTTTATGTGCTGCCAGCATGCTTTTTTATGTGCTGCTAGCATGCTTTTACCGTGTCATTGAC